CCCTGGCTGCCTGCCTTTAATTACCCAAACGCCAAGTCGTGTCACGACTAGTGCTGACCCCGCCCAAAATGGCCGAGGAGTACGCAGCGAATGCAATGCGAATTGAGGGCTATCCCACGACTGCAGCTTGTTCTACGCCCCCTCCACACCCCACACTATTCTACAAACATAATTTGCTCTGCTTTTTGTTTTGCCTTTTGCTGGGCAGTTAACATTTGCCTAATGGGGCTTCTTTACCAGTAGGGGTGTCGAGCCCCGGGGACATTGCCCTCCAACACAATTGCGCCCTCAAGCATGGCAGAGCAGAGGCCTCTCTCCCTCTCCCCGTTTCTGGCAAAAAAAAAACTAAAAACCGAAACTGAAATTGTCGTCAATTTGTTTTGTGTGCAAAGTGAAATTTTGTTCGAGCATGTTTCAAGCTCTGGCTGCCTGACTGGCTGACTGTTATTTCTGTAGCTGTTGCCGCGTTTTGTTAATGCAGCGATAAATTCGTGATGTTCGTTTCATACACGATTCCCCACCACCCCACGGCCCGCCAGCGATGCCGGGGCGATGCGAAAGCTCTCCACTTCACTCTCTGCACTCCTCTCAACTCTACCTCGTTGAAGTATTTATTGTTTAGTATTCATCAAAACGGGGGGGGAAATGTGACTGGCAAAAATGTGCAAATTGCATGCGACAATCAATTTGGCCAGGCCACATCCTGGCCCCATTGCCTGATCCTCTTGCAGTCCCAACAATGCCTTGCCATCAGGACATCAAACGGGAGAACAAACAATGGCCAAGAGAACGGCGAGGATACTTAACCCAGTTTTTAGTTTCATTCAGATGCTTCGCATTCACTTTGACATGCCAAAAACCCCGGAATGATATCATGTCGGCCCTCGGCCCTCGGCACACGGCCCACGCTCTACGCTCTAATCCTCTGCCCTGCCCCCCACCAGTGACCTAAATTCGGCTCTATTCCATGCGGGTGGCCACAACAATTGTCCCAGGTATTGATTTTTGGCCTTCGTTTCAGCTGGAGTTGGAGTTGAACTGAACTGCCAATGAAAAGACTGAACAAACCGAGGACCAAAGCAGGGGAAGATGCGCTGAAGAGAGAAGTAGCTGCTGCCCTGCGATAAGGAAATAGCAACACAAGCAAACACATCTCCACATCAATATAAACATAAACGAAGCCATCAACAGACGAGGCCGCAATGTTTTTGCCTGTGAAATCAAATCAGTAAGTAGACAGTGAAATTCGAGTGGAGAGTCTCAGCTCCAGCTGGGGAGACTCCCCATTGACACCATTCCACCCCCGAAACAGTGGGCTCCCTTGGCAAAGCATAAACATGAACATGAGAACATGAGAATGCGAGGGAGCATGAACAACCCTCGAGCGAGCTATGGCTATGCCGGCATAGAATTTTCATGTTTCCTGCGACATCTTGGCGCCACACCAACATCATCATCGTCATCATTATGATTATACAATTTGATTCTGTTGCAGCTCGGGGGAGGCGAGTGGCAACAACGAGGATGTCACCACCACCAGCAACAATTCCACACAAACGCCCAGCGATCTGAGCCCACCGGGACCCAATGAGGAGGTCTTGCCCCAGGCACATCATCAGAATCCAGGACATTGCATTGCCTCCTTTGCGGCCATCAATCAGATGAGAACTAATGCCCAGGTATGTGGCAATCTATCAAAATATATCTTTGGGGGTTATTTAGGATAGGGAGTAGACCCTGGAGAGCTCTCAGCTTTGGTTTTTTCTTTAGTTTTTTTTTGGCAAACAAAGAAGAGGAGACTTCACAGTCCGAGTACCACTTGAAAGGGCATTGAAAACTGGCCGCGATTAATTGACAGATCTTGATATTGCTGTACTAATTGCATTAGGCGTGAACATAATTAAAATATTTATTTAGAATGGGCGCGTGATTGAGGCCGTCGCATGTTTTAGTTGCCGCTGTGCCACATGCCGCATACTTAATTTCTTTCGTTCGCTTCTCTTTATTTGGTCAGTCGGCAAACGATTAATTGTCACCCAGCTACGCCACCCCCCGAGCACAGAGTTCACCAGGGGTGGGGCCATTCGAGCAAATTGCCGTTTTAGAGCCTCAGCGGGCGGCTCGGCCTTAGCCCGAATCGAAGCCATGATGTAAGCGACACTTTGCCATCAAAGATGGGTCTCAACCGGGAGGGGGAAGGCATTGACTGCCGTTCGAAAGTTATTAATGGAATATGTCTGTGTGTGTCTGGAACAAGTCACTGTTGTAAGGATTCAAGGGGAGCCGCAGGAGGAGCATTGCAAAATTGAGCACGTAGCCAGGAATTAATCGGATTTGTCAAGCGACACTTTGTCTGGCCGTAACAGACGGGTGCCATGGGTACTCCATGTGTCAACAGCGTGTGTTAATGGTTCCTCTGGTTATCCTTTCAGCTCTGCGACGTTCGCCTGGAGGTGGGCGGCGACACCATCAATGCCCATCGAGTGGTGCTGGCCTCTGTCTCGCCCTATTTCTATGCAATGTTCAACGGTGAGTGGAGTTCAACGAGCGAGATGCTTGAGATTACTCACCCTAATATCTCTTCCCTTCCAGATGACATGCTCGAACGCACGCAGGGTCTGGTGCGACTCCACGACGTGGACAGCACCGCTCTGCGCCAGCTGATCGACTACACCTACACCGGGGAGATCACAATCACGGAACAGAACGTGCAGGTGCTGCTGCCAGCCTCGGGACTGCTGCAGATGCATTCGGTGCGCGACGCGTGCTGCAAGTTTCTGCTGCGGCAGCTGCATCCCTCCAATTGTCTGGGCATCCGCAGCTTCGCGGACGCCCACTCGTGCAAGGAGCTGCACACGCGCTCCCACAAGTACGCGCTGCAAAACTTCCAGCAGGTGGTGGGTACGGAGGAGTTCCTGCTGCTGCCCTTCGAGGAGGTCAGGGAGCTGATATCGAACAGCCAGCTGAACATCAGCTCCGAGGAGAAGGTGTTCGTGGCGGTGGTCAACTGGGTTAAGCACGATCTGGCCACGCGGCGGCTGTACACGTCGGAGCTGATGTCGCACGTGCGCCTGCCGCTCGTCAGCCGCGACTTTCTCATGAGCTGCGTGGAGGCGGAGACGCTAATGCGCGACGACTCCGAGTGCAAGGAGCTGCTGCTGGAGGCCATGAAGTATCATCTTCTGCCGGAGCAGCGCAGCGTGAATGGCAGTCAGCGTACGCAGGAGCGGCGGCCGGAGGGCATGAAGCCGTATGTGTTCGCCGTCGGCGGCGGCAGCCTCTTCGCCATCCACAACGAGTGCGAGGTGTACAATCCGAGGAGCAACAGCTGGAGCCCGGTGGCTCCCATGCTGTGGCGTCGCTCCCGCTCCGGGGTCACGTCCCTGCACAAGCAGCTCTACGTGGTGGGCGGCTACGACGGCGTCAGCGATCTGGCCACGGCCGAGAGCTACAATCCGCTGACGAACAAGTGGAGCAACATCACACCGATGGGCACCAAGCGCAGCTGCCTGGGCATCTGCTCCTACGACGCTCTCATCTACGTGTGCGGCGGCTACGACGGCGCCTCCTGCCTGAGCAGCATGGAGCGCTACGATCCGCTCACTGGCATCTGGAGCTCCTGCCCGGCCATGAGCACGCGGCGTCGCTACTGCCGCCTGGCCGTGCTGGAGAACTGCATCTACAGCCTGGGCGGCTTCGACTCCACCAACTATCAGTCGAGCGTCGAACGCTTTGATCCGCGCGTGGGACGCTGGCAGCCCGTTCCCAGCATGACCGCACGTCGCAGCAGCTGTGGCGTGGCCTCCACCGATGGCCATCTGTACTGCATTGGCGGCAACGATGGCACCATGTGCATGTCCAGCGGCGAGCGCTTCAACCTGAGACGGAACACTTGGGAGCCCATTGCAGCCATGCATTCGCGCAGATCCACCCACGAAGTGGTCGAGGTGGAGGGCGCATTGTTCGCGCTGGGCGGCAATGATGGCAGCTCCTCGCTGAACTCCGTGGAGCGCTACGATCCGCGGCTCAACAAGTGGAGCGTGGTCAATGCCATGGTGGCTCGCCGCAGCTCAGTGGGCGCTGCGGTGCTGGAGTGTTTCCATCTGGAGCGCGGACTGGTGCAGACAACGAACTTATGACCCTTGGCCAGCATCAGCGAGTCCTTCGCCGCTGCGTCAGCGAGCGCCGCTAGCGGCACCAACGGAACGGGAGGATCATCAGTGGCAGCATCAGTCACCGGAGGCACACTGACCGTGCCCAGTCGGGCGGAGGCGGCTGCGTTCACGGCCAACATTGCATTGAGCAGCTCGGCGCCGTCAGCCAGTTCCACATTGCGACGACACCGACGCGACACTCCCGGCCTGGCCGAGACCCGGAGAACCAACAGCAACGCGAGCAGCAGCAGCGGAAGTGGCAGCGGCAGTGAGAGTGGCAGCAGTGCCACCAGCGGAACAGGAGCGGCAGCAGCAGCAGCAGCAGGAGGAGGAGGAGTAAAGCCACCGGCGACAGCCTGATCCTGGTCTACGTCGCGTCGTTTTTAAGTCTACAAAAACTACAAAAAACTTACACTTACATACAAAGCTAACCCCACGCCTAATGCAGGAATTTGATTGATTGTTCAGTTCGTTATTAATGATAGATATATAGATGGATAGATACTCGTATATGTGCGACTATTCAGCCCGACGGAGATGCATGCAGCAGCCACTGACTGGGACAGGCCCCTGGCGGTTGTTCAATTGCTCAACAATGGATGGAGGAAAACAGAGCTACCAACAAGCACACATATTTCTAGTCAAGATCTCTCACATTAGACACGCCCACACACCCTAACACACACACACATTCACATTATGTACATGGGCATGCCGTAGGGGGCCTGGAGGAGCGCAGTCTGCTAGCAAGGATGTGGAGACAACAAACATGGAGAAGCAACCTAATCTGCCTACAATTTACATACATAAATCTCTATACACATAAATTATATACTATATACACTCTTATGTACTATTCGTATGTATTTTATACACGCAATTATAAAGATAAGTAAATGTTTCGTATTTGAAGACGGTCAAAGTCATCATTGTCTGCTATTTTGGTACGTTCCCCTCGTCGATATCTTGATATTTGTACTAGAATCAGGGGAACTGTGGCCTAAGTCAGTGCCCGAATCAAAGCATCCGTCCCGCTGTCTTGTGTGCAACATTGCCCACGTTGTTACTGCCGTTCTCCTGCTGCCCCGATGCGGCGACCATTTTTCCTGGATTAATCCAGTCCTTGGGCAGGCCCGTGCCAACTGTAAGAATGACGGGGATGGTGATTATTGAAGAGTGCATATGTGCAGGTGGACACGTCAGTTCGTTTTTTCACGAGTGTGTGCAGTGCAGCAACCGGTGGGAGACAAGAGAGAGAGAGAGAGAGCTGGAATCCATATTAACAATCGGCCATGGGGACATGGCCAAGCAATCGACAAGTTCGACAAGATCGACAGTTCTCAGTACGCATTTATTGTATTGTTTCCGTTTCACGTGATTCTTGATGATGGGACAAGGAACGTTAAATGCTGATGCGGCCATCTGCCCGCGTCGGCTCCCAAGCTCACAAACTGACAGCGGCGCTTGGCCCGTTGTGGTGCTGCTGTGCCCTGGCGCTTGCGACTCGTAGATGATGTGGGATGAAGCTGTCTCCGAGTGGCAAGGCTAGCGCACAGACAGCGCGAGCTGCGGCGCAGACAGTTCGTGAAAAAATGAGGACGACATGCCGCTTGAGAGTGGTTAAAACTAAACGGTACTTAGGCACTACCTCGAAAATGTGGGATAAGAATTAATTAACAAGGAATATTGGTCGCTTCTTAGTCCAAGTCGCCAGCTACTGTGTTGCGCGGGTGGGATGGAGTGGAGAAACGTAAACAGAACGAAATGTATGCGGCAAAAAGAGAGAGTACGAAGAACGCGTTAGAAGTTACTCAGAGAATATTAAGGCTATGTCTAAGTCTTGGTGGCCAATGATTGGAACCAAAAACCGAAACTGTTCAACTTAAAAGTAAACTCTTTTTGTTAATCAAAACGAGAGCTATTTACTTTTGTAAACCTTCTCGGTCATGTCATCGAAGGCAGAGTCCTGAATGTTCAACATCAAGCTGTCAGCCGACAGGTAGACCTTGTTCTGTGAGCTGGCAATCTGTGGAAAGAGATTAGATGTTAACATATATATTGGCTAGGTGAATATCAATCATACCGTGCGGGCAATGCTCTGTGCGGCACGCAGCTTGCGCAGCTTCAGATAGGCTGGGTTCTGCTTCACGGCCAGACCTAAGTAAACATATCGGTTAAGGGAGAAACCAAGAGGCAAATCGAATGGGAATTCCTAAATCTAAAGATAGGTTTGTTTGTTTGTAAAAGGATATCATTTTGGCTGCTTCGGCTTCACCCTCAGCCTGGACAATCTTCTGTTGCTTCTCCTGCTTGGCACGCTCCACGAAGAAGACGGCGCGCTGCGCCTCCTGCTGGGCAACCTGTTTGGCCTCGATGGCGGCAGTGTATTCCTTGCCGAAGCTCAGCTCGGTGAGGGAGACATCGTCCAGAATAATGTTGAAGTCACGGGCACGCTCAACCAGCTCCTTGCGAATCAGCAGCGACACCTTCACACAGGGTTATCTCGATTAAAATCAGGTCAGAAGGGGCTGCTCAATTCACTCACCTGTTGACGCTGTGTAATCAGCTGCGAGGCATTGAACTTGGCAATGACGCTCTTCAGCACCTCATTGCAGATGGAGGGCAGCACCTTCTCGTCGTAGTCCACTCCCAGCTGCTTGTGCAGGGAGGGTAGGTTCACAGAGTCGGGACGCGACAGCACACGCAGCGAAATGTTGATCATCTGCAAGTCTTTGGAGCCGGTGGGCGAGGTAATTTTACGGGGACGAGAGCGAATATCATAGATAATGGGATACTGGAACCATGGAATGCGGACGTGCAGACCCTCGGAGAATATATCATTCTGTATGCCGCCGACGCGATTGAAAATGATGGCGCGATGACCGCCGTCGACTGCAAGCAAAAAATGTGTGGAGTTTGTTATGCAATCGACTTCATATTAAAAATTAGTAATGGAAATACTGCAAGTTGTCAGAACTTTTACTCAAGGATGGGTCCGATCCTTAAAGCTTCCATTACCATTGGAGATTCCATTTAAACGAAGATTGTGCAAGGCTTTTTATTAGTTATGAAATCTGGAGATAGCGCAGGCCCTCGCACCCATACACTCACACCTTGGCACTGAATCGGGTTGAGGTTATGTGCACATGCCGCTTCGGCGTCCATGTTTCTGCTCTTATTCATCAATTCTGCGGAATTATTATGATGAACATTTCCTTACCTGTGTAAAAGGACTGGCTAACACCATAGGCTGCAGCTCCGGCGACCGCCAGAAGCTTCAATCCAATACCCAGTCCGGGTGGGCCACCTTTGCCCAGCTTGCCCGCAAGATCATTCAATTTGCTTTGTGCCATGTTGTTTGATTTCTAAATAGACAATTTGTTCATGAGTTTCTGTTTTTGAAGTATTTGAGAGCAAGGTTTGATTTAATAAAAGCAATAATTATGAAATTACATCGACAAAAAAAACCGCACGTTCTATTTACCTGGATTAGTGTGACAGCGAAATTATTAATTAAGTATACCGACAGACCCTCGCAAATATACCCTTTCATTTTTAAAATATACTGTAAATATACCATAAATCTATAATCATTTTTCGCGACTTTGATCTACTGTTTAATATTACCAGCTAGCTAAGTCTTCCAGCCCAAAATCTATAATTTATTGCGATTAACGAATCAACTGTCTATAGATTGACAGTCTTGCTTGCTGGAAATATGCAAAAGAAATACTCAAATAAGGAGAATTCGATTTCTAAGCATATGGTTCAGTGTATCTTTTACGACCACCCTGCTTAGGTAGCACACCTTGCAGTTTTCCATAGCTTTTTGAGTATTTAATCGACTTTCAGTATCGATAATTTGGAAAATGAACGCGTGGCCAGAGAATGGAGTATTTGTTGAGTGCGCAATTTAAATTTGAATTTGAATATAGTTGGATTTTATGTGCACATAAATATTAAAGGAACAATTAATTAAGTTGCTTGAAACTGAATAATTTAACTTCTCTCTTTGGGTTTTCTCTCTCAATATTTAATCTAATATATTCTGGTTTTCTTTAGCGAAAATCACACTTAGATTCCCATGAATTTATGGAGGTTTATTACGTCTCGTTGCCATCCTACCTTATCACGACAGTGCCAAGACTTGCCTTCAAAGCATTACAATCTTTTGCCTCCGCTGCGATTTGAGGATTTCTCTCTTTGTTTACGTATTTATTACTTAGCCCTGATACGGAAGTGGCAGATAAACGTTCGATGGCTTTATGACGCTCGCCCTAAATTGTTCACTGATGGATTTGTAATTAATATTGTATTGACTCCAACTCACCGATTAGATTAGAGCTATTAATTATAGCAGGTTGTTACCAGTGTTTAAGAGCTCTTCCGTTGTGCCATACACATCTCAAGTGTTGCGGAAAATTAAATGCAAGATGCGAAGATTCACTCCTAGTCTGACGTCGATAGGGTGGCGACGGGCCAATGTCAACGTAGGCAGAAATCAGCTTCGAATTGTACATATAAGAAAGTAAAAATGAATATAAATTCGATTGCTTTGCATTTGTAGAAATCCCCGAGAGAATCCCCACCACAAATGATGGCAAATTTATAATGAGAGTTGGGTGGAGAGACCGCAGAAATCCAGAGTAGAATAGTTAAGTTCCAGGCGGTGGGTGGGCGAAGGGGTTCGTCAGGAGGAGGAGGAAGTTCCTGGTTGTGGCTGTGGCCCAATCAATGTCATCTTGCTGGTCGAGCGCTTTGAGCGTTAATCGCCAGACAATATCGGCTATCAGACGGCAATTAGCATGCGCAACGACCCGCCGCCGCTCGCATATGGTCGGCCACCATAACACCGCATGGCAGTTGGCTGGGATTTCGGCATGGCCTAACAAAGCTTGCCAATTTGGCTGGATAGTCACTTGAACTTGGATTTACATGTGACCAAGTGGTGCGTGGGCGGGGGGAGAGTGTGCGAGTACTTAGGAATTGAGGAACTCAATTCGAGCCGAGACTCACTTGTCGATGGTCAAGTTCAAGCTGAAACGGCACGTTTTGCATGTCAGAACAAACATTAATCGAATGTGGGGTAAGATTATGCAATCGATTGACAAATACAAAACAGATACGAAAAAGGGAAAGAGAGTGGGAGAGTGGGAGAGTGGGAGAAACAAATAAATCTGAATTGCATTAACAACTGCACAACTGCACAACTGCACTGCGCTGTAAAAAATAAGTATGTCCAGAATGTAATTGCTAGTCCGTCAAACAGCTGCTCGGCCCGACGTAATATCTGCTGGAGGATGTGTAATTGCATTGACTGGCAATTATTTTGTGCGCCCCAATTCAACGCCCCCCACCCGCTGCCAGCCACCTCATGACACGTGAAAAACTAAAACACCAGCCTCAGTCTGAGCCGTACAATATTATTACCAGAGCATAGCGTGTTTGTTCCGATATAGCGGGTGGGAATGAAAAACTCTAACCCAAAAACTGCTGCATCATTTGGCAGCGGAAGAATCACGAAATGGGGGAAGAGGGTAGCTTTCCCATTTACATAAATCTACATTCGATTTGAGACCATACTTAGCCGAGCTGAGCAAAAACCCATTAATTGATCCACAAACAAACTTGGCTTGCGGTTCGGTTCGTCTGGTGGAAACTGTTGTGCCAAGCACGAGATTTGTAAAACGGCAACAACATTCGGCCAGGGGGACAAGAGCAATGCTCTAAAGCGTACTCAGCATATCAGCAAAGAAACAATTGTTGAGCATCCTAGGGGATCCTTTTTGATGCCCCAGAAGTCTGCTGCAAAATATATATTTCTCACCTTACACCTGACACCGTAAAACTGAAATAAATCACATCAGAAAAATCTGCACTGAACATTGACTGACTGCTGTGGCGGCTGGCTTTCCTGACAAATCCATCAATAAAATCCTGAGAGACTTGTGCCCCAATGGACCATAAAATTAAAACAGTTTTGATAAGACCTCACGCCAGAAGCATCATGACAAATGGATTAGACACTGCCGCGTCCCCTCTGGACCGGTGCTGGACCGCACATCAAGTAGGAGAGGATTTAAGACCGTTTTGCACAATGTTTGATTTTAGTGTCCCATTGTTTAGCAGCTTTAGAGTCCAACACCGAGATTATCACTTGTTTTTCTAGATGGATCGACATGAGACGAGCGTGTGGCTGAAGGGTGTCTGAAAGTGCGTCACCTCTTGGAGGGGAGGCTATCTAAGGCCTTGGTTGTACGCTTCGTTTGCACCTCACATCCGATCAGATCGAACTTTCATTTGGGGCAGCAGCGAATGGCTGTTAAAGTGAGAGTCGAGAGTTGGCAAATAAAATACGTAATAGGATTAACAAGTGCACAATCCATTGGTAATGGCAAAGAATTCTAGTTATTCTCCCTCCAACAATAAAAAAAGGTTGTTAGTACACAGAGAGAGAGGGAGGGAGAATGGAGGGAATCGGAACCAAAACGAATTCCATTGGATCAGCCAGGCATGAACTATGCATAGCCAAGAATTTTTAAATCGCACATACTAAATACTTAGTTACTGGGGCTCTGGCCTCGGGGAGAGAGTGGCTGATGCTTAGAACTATTCCCCCTTTATGCTGCCCAGGGGAAAGTGAAAGTAATCCACTCTTACTTCACCCTGTCAGTGTAATGTCAAGAGCACACCTCCACTCCCCCACTACTCACTCAATCACTACTCGGTATCGGACCGCAATCATAGCTCTCGGAACTCAGCTGGGTGGCATCCACGAGTAGGGCGGCTGATCGTTTAACCAGTTTGGTTTTTTCTGCCACTCTGTTTCGGGATTCCCTCGGAGCAATAATTCAATTTGTTTACCCAAACGTTTCATTCATACAAAAATCAAAATCGAACGCGTAAAAACAAAAACTTTGTAGCCATAAATTTTCCATTGGCCCATTTCGGTGGCTTTGCTGTCTTTTGGTGTCTTCTGGGGTGGCTTCCGCCCTGATTTCATATCACTTGTGGGCTCTGCTCTGCTGCTACTTACACCCAAATACATATAACACTGTGTCAAGAGCATCATATGAGCCTCCTTTGATTGGGTGCGAGGCGCGAACACTTCACCAAGGGGCCCTGACTTGCTCGTGGGCATGCCCCGGCCATGTCTATTGTGCTAGGTGTAATCTATAGATGATTCTGATAAGATTCGATTGAGTCGGATATCTGTGCCTGTACCTATGTACCTATGTACATTTGTATAGATGGACTCCCACGGGCTGTCCACGGGGCGCGTAAGTGGCCTGCCCTGGGCATTTCTCGGCAGAGTCGAGAGCTCTGCTTCGGTGACGTCGCCAAATGTTCGATACACGGAGCGGAGCGTGCTTGAGTGCCTCGATCGGGGCTCGCGTATAAATGGAGTCCCAGCGGCGACTCAGCGTTCAGTCGGTCTGAAATTGTAAAGGTGGCTAGAGCGAGAGCGAGAGCGAGAGCGGTACTAAACGGTAGCATCCGTCGAGCGGTAGAGAATCGAAACAGAATCTGTTACAATTTTGTGCTTTGTTGTGGCACCTGCAACCTGGCATCTGGGACCTGGAACACCAGCTAATATGCGCACATTTTCCTCGATCGATATCGAAACATTTCGAATTGCTGGCCAGCAGTGAGCGGGCCAAGAGACTGCGATTCCACGCCACAATAACTCAAAACGAACCATAAAAGTGCTAACACTCTAAAGAACAACAAGAATTTAACCAGTAGCTTTCAGTTCATTTAACTAAAACATTCAACATGAAGCTGCTGTGCTGTGGTGGGAGCAACAATAACTCCATGGACCTGAAGGACTCCAAAAAGGAGGATGAGGCCGAGGGCAAAAGTAAGTGGAATCCTTCGATAAGATCAGGCTTTAGATCTGAAATTGCATTTAGCTAGGGGAAGGGGAAGGGAACACTTCTGAAAAGATTACAGTCGATCCAAGGGAAATTACTCCAAGTCCATTAAGTGCGAAGTTTGAAAAGTCTTTAAGTGCTTTGTGAGTAAATCAAACAAATAGATTGTCAATCCACTGGCAAGTGGTAAAACTTGCGATTAAATCCAAAGCGCCAGTCAGCAAAAGCTGTCTTGTGTTTTTTAATCGGTGCCACGCGGTGCCAGTCACCTCCCGTCAATTAACAAATGAAATGTGCATCTGCTTTAAGGCAGTCAGTCCCTCATCCAAGGTGAACCAATTAAAGGTATCAATAGCAGTAACTGCACTGGCGCCTGGCCAGCAGTATGGGCAGAGACAGGAAGCTGACAGCCCACAAACATAAATCATCAAAGTTCGTATGCAAATTTGAGTCCAGCGCACAGCCGACAAGTGTCAGCACACCGCACAGATACCCCCCAGATAGTCGGATACACCGGCAGTACAGCGGCAATCTATCGGCTTTGTTTGGGTGTCTGTCTGTCAATGCGAGCACGGCAGCAAACACACACAAAGAATGCTCCAATACGCGACAGACAGACCGACAGGCAGTCTAACGTGAATCCAGTTTAGTACGCGTACCGGCGGCGACTAATGAGCAGCAGCAGCAGCAGCATCAGCAGCAGCAGCGACTAGCACTAAGCGGCGGCGACTAACGAAAACACGGCAACAAATCGGCTATAGATTTAGATAGCAGATACGTAAGATACGTTCTTTGAACAATTAGAGTCGATAGCAGTCGCTGCGTTGTCGCGTATAAGGCCAAAACATAAATCTCACATATTTCCTATTATGTTCCTGCTTTGACTTAACTTTTGCGCACTTGCCGCAGGCGCAGGGGAGGGAAGCAGAGTCGAGTTGCTGACAAACAGAAACCAAACACTGAGTGAAACCTTTTGGCAAATAAAAAGGGAAAGGGTGTATGGCGGATATCCTTACAGCTGATAAATCACACAAGTCTTTATTTAGAGCTGCCGCTGGCTGGCTGGCTGGCTGGCTGCTGCGTGCCGCATATAATTATCGTCCATTCGACTTCATTAACACTTGACAAAACACTGAAAATCTTCCGTCAGAGCATAAATTAATCGAGTGCGCTCAAAATAAACAACTAACTGTGGATTATTGTACGTCATATACATATGTGTACAACATATTTAAATAATTTTCACTAAATATTCAAATTGGCAAGGCAGGCGCCGCGGCAGGCGCCTAGCCGAGACGAGGCTGACACGCGGGTCGGCACCGCAAGTCGGGTCACAAATCAGCGACTTACCGAAGGTAAGGTTATCCTCCTGCCTCCCCGCAGAGACACTGTATGGGGTGTACCCCCCATATATGGGGAGGATCTAACCAAACCTGATACGTCTCTTGCTGCTCGATCAAAAGTCGGCCAAAGAATTCGTTTGATAAGGCACGGGCACGTGATTGGCTCTCGTCTGAGGTTGTTGTGACATCGATTTTGGATTTCTACATCCACTCGAAAGCAGTGGGTGCTCACTCCCTTCCCCCCAACCCTTGACAGGTGGAGTGGCACCTTGCTATCTGTTGACTGAACATTTGAAAGTCGTTTGGGGAAAGTCGGCCTCCGACTCTGGCCAACCCATATTGTTATCAGCCAGCGGCGTTCGATGATAAGTCGGTTAAGCTCTGATGCATTTATACAATAAGCGTGTCCAGCTACGACACCTCGTCCATCATTCCTCAATACGTTGCGCCCCCCGCATTGTAGTGGGAAAGCACTCCAAAGCACTGACACAAATTCAATAACAATTTGAATTATAATTGAGAATTAGTTGAGTTTGATAATTGCTGCCATAATTGCGTGACTTGCGGTTGCCCATTCCACCAATCCATCTGCGCCTTTAGCGGGTGCACACCGTAGCCAAAACCAAAACAAACGAAGCTTTCGGCGGGCTTTTTGGAGCAACCGAAAAGCTCTTCTCCTCCCCACAACACGAACAAAATTCAAGTTCAAAGCTAACGGCAACCGCGATTCAATATTGTCTGTCTATAAATCGAACGAACGAACAGTTTGATCCGCGATTGAAAGCTGACAGGCAGGCAGAAGCTTGGAGTGTCTATCCCCCTGGGCCATGCCTTGACCAAATGCCAGCCTCCCCCCGTTATCCCGTTGATGCACTGATGCACACGTAATGGCAGCCAGAATGCCAGCATTTGTTACAGCAGTGTCTGACGTACAGTTGATAAGCCGAAACCAAATGGAAGCGTTACAAGCCCCGAAGCTTACGTAGGGGTGGTGGTGGTGGCACGGTTCTGGGTCTGCATGACCAACGCACTTGAGATTAAGCCCAGCAAATGAATAGTTAAATATACACAAATTCCCACTATTGGCAGAGTACACAAAGAGGAGGGAAAAGGGGGCCGCCGCCGCCGCCGCCGCATCGTCGCCATTCCCTAGAATGGAATTTTTCCGCCAAAAATCTGTCGCGTTATCCAGAGTACCCGAAACCAGAAGCGGCCCAAATGCAAATACATAGCTGGTTCTGGTTGGGCTATCTGTCTGCCAGATAAGGGATGATAAATTAGAGTTAAATTACGGCAATCATAGAGGAGGAGCAAGAAGTAAACGAAAACCCGAAAAATAAGTGGGGGGGGCATAAATCTATTTCCAGCTGTGGCCAGTTCGAGTGGGTCGCACACGCAATTCAAAATCTGGGACAGACTTCAGCCTGCAGGCGACCTACAGGTGACCTACAGCAGGAATATGAATAGGAATAGGAATAGGAATACGAATACGAATACGAATACGAAAACCCCTCCAGAGCCACTCCACAGATAGCGCGGTCAATAGGCTGATAGCCGATCGATTAATTGAACTGACGGCTGAGCTGGGGCGCGCAAACGATAATCAGATTACCCAACCGCACCGCACCACAAAGTACCTCCCCGCTTACTAACCGATTCCATTTGATTGCAGGTTCCGGTCTGGGAGTACGCCACTTCCAGGTATTTCTGCTCTTCTGCGCCCTGACGGTGGCCTATGCGCAGCGCGTCAACCTGTCCGTGGCCGTGGTGGCCATGATCGATTCCGCCTCCGCCAATCCAGACTTTCCTGTAAGTAAACCTCACTGCACCATACCCAAAGCGAGCGCTAACTCAACTCTTTTGCTCCGTAGGAATACAACTGGTCGGATAGGATCAAATCCCTGCTGCTGAGCAGCTTCTTCTGGGGCTATGTGGTCACCCAGGTGCCGGCCGGCCAGCTGGCAAGGAAGTTCGGTGGCAAAGTGATGATCCTTTCGGGTCTCACCATCTGCTCGGTGCTGAACATCCTCACGCCACTGTGCGCCAAGCTGGGAGGCTGGCAACTGGTCTGCGCCTTGCGTGTGGTCGAGGGTCTGTGCCAGGGCGTGGTCTTCCCATCCACGCACACGATCCTGTCCCAGTGGGCGCCGCCGAAGGAGCGCGCCACACTCGGCACGTGCGCCTATGCCGGCAATCAGTTTGGCACGATCATCATGCTGGCCACCAGTGGACTGCTGGCCGCCTCCTCGGCTGGCTGGCCCAGCATCTTCTACATCTCTGGGGGCGTTGGGTGCGTCTGGTCGATCGTGTACTTCCTTTGGGGCGCCAGCTCGCCGTCGGAGTGCAAGAGCATCACGTCGGAGGAGCGCAAGTTGATTGAGTTGGCGCAGGCCGGAGAGGTGACCGCTGGACAGGACCAGCCCAAGGAGCAGCCGCCCACACCCTGGCTGAGCATGTTCACATCGCCCGCATTCCTGGTCCTCATCGTGGCGCACTCCACCCACAATTGGGGCTTCTGGACCCTGCTGACCGAGATTCCCAGCTACATGAAGAACATCCTGGGCAAGGACATCAAGTCGAACGCCCTGCTCTCGTCCCTGCCCTACGTGTGCATGTTCTGCATGTCCTTCGTCTTCTCGGCCATATCCGCGCAGCTGAACAACCGCAACTGCATCTCCACGGGCACCAGCCGCAAGCTGTTCAACACGATCGGCACCTGGATCCCCATGGTCACACTCATCGGCCTGGGCTACACGGGTGCCGATCAGGCCACGCTGGCCGTCGTTCTGCTCTGCTTCACCGTGGGCACCAATGGCGCCACGTACCTGGGCTTCAACATGAACCACATTGATCTGTCTCCGAACTATGCCGGCATCCTGATGGGCATCACCAACTGCGTGGCCAATATAATGAGCATCATCGCCCCGCTGGTGGTTGGTGTCATTGTCACCAATGAGGTGAGTCCATCGGCTACCCCTTTCCAATCTGTTACCACTTGCTGAATCAATTTCTACCTTTTGCTTTACAGAAAGATCCCGATCTGTGGCGCATCGTGTTCTTCATTGCCGCCGGCTTCTACCTGGTGGGCAACGGACTGTTTGTGCTCTTCGGCAAGGCCGAGGTGCAGCCCTGGAACGATCCCCCAACGAAATCCAAGGCGGACGCCACGCCTCAAGTGGAGTCGCAGCACTAGAGAGAGAAGAGAGAGAGAGTCTCTCTCTCCGCTAGTCAGCTAGTTCAGTTTTCCACCTAAACCACAGCCGCAATCAGATGATGGTCGGCCTGTCAACTGTCAATCCTAACTCTAATGGAGCGCAAGGCAATGCATTTTCGCATTATCCAAACTAAGTCGCGCTCCGTCTACACTGTACATATCTTATTTTGTTGTACATAATTATATTTGTAAACTATTCGTTACTGTGCTCCGTATGTGTGTACTCGCGTTACCCTCTTAGGTCTTAGCTTTAGTTTTAGAGACTAATTTATGTAAGGACAAAGTGAAGAGGAAACGATAATAATAATGTGAAAAGAAAACCAAAACCCACAAGACTGTTTGATTCCCAAACGACATAACCCAAACCCACAACTAGTGCAAGGTGAATTTATTATTAGGGGTCTATGAGTCTCTCTGAGAGCCGAGCGAGCGTGTTGAAAAAGTGTTTGATCCTCACCACAGCCATGAAGTAACTATATAAGGAGGTACATAATTCGCGTATCGTTTATATTTATAAACTTTATGTGATACTTAATCCGCATGTTTGCTTTGATTTGCTTGAAGTATGTTTCTGCGAATTCCAAGTATTTATTGCGGGTCGCAATTGTTGTTCAAAGTAACACAAGTCCAACAGCAATCGGGAAAGTCCATAGTCGTGTCTGTGACATTTTCCTTACACTCTTGGAACAAAGCCGGGGTTTGGCAGCTGAATTGAATACATTTATTTCATATTTCGAAGAACAATTCGACGAACCAATTCGGGTACTTACAAGCTGAGAGTTATAGTATTGGATCCATACAGGGAATACGTATCGTCGCATGAGAAGATTCCGCACAATCCTTTTGGTTTCCATTGCGTGTTAATTAATTGCCACTCATCAGTTTCGTTGTGAATCCTGCATCTGTCTTTCTTCAATGGTTTAAATGGTGCCAGATGGCGAGACATGGAATTCGCGGAGGCCACGAAAAATATCAGGCATAGGATGTACTTGAGAGCAGCCATATTTACAGACAATATTGTATTGGACTCTGGCTTAAAGAAGAGCAGAATGCACAATGAAGATGTCGCCTGGATTGGCGAGTTCATTTTATAGGCCTGAATGAAGTGCATTTCTGCACAGCTGCGCTTCCCATTAAAACTAGGGCTTAGGCGTGTACTTACTGCCATAGGAACGGTGTCCGCTTACATTGCTCAGCATTTTGTTTCATACAATTCCTTGTAAGTTTGGCATGTTGCACAGCAAGCCCTTTTATAGAGCATAGATTCGACCCAGTCGCCACCTGTTGGTGTTTACGCGAACTATACCCCAATTGGCATTTCTACATAAATCTACATAAATATAACCCACTATATAATATCGATGTTATATTACAATTATCGATATATTGATATTAATGTTTTTGTTTTGCTTTGGTAAATAACAAAAAATGGAACACGCGGCGGACACTGTGCCAGAAGTGGAAATCAAATGCAGTGCTACCCTGAAGCCGACGGCAAATACAGCCGTCAAGTGCCTGAAATGCGACAAGGTGTACATTTTTCCCGCAGACAAAGACGACTGCCTGGCGCATCTGTATCTTGAGCATCGCCTGGTGATTGCCGATGTGGAGGACATCGCGCTGCTGGAGGACTATTTGCAGTACTGGGAAAAGGAGTTTCACAGTGAGCGGCAATAGTGCAATTTCGGAGATAAATCCCCTTATTAAATATGGTTTCTTTCAGGCCATGAATTCGAGCAATACTGCACAACCATGTTCCTGGACCAGCTGCCCGATGGGACATATGCCAGGAACGAGAAATACTATTTGCTCTGTGATATACTGCCGCAGGACTACGAGCTGCGTCAGCGACTGCGGGAGCAACGACTGAGGACCGCCCTGGAGCGCCACCAATTCGAGCTGACGGACCGCAACTTCTCCAAGGAGTGTCTCTTCTGCCGAACCGTGATCCAGGGCCTCAGGGCCGACTATCTGGATCATTTGTTTGACAAGCACTTTCTGCTGGTGGGAAAGCCCGAGAAGTTGGTCTACGTCGACGAGCTGCTCAACCAGCTGGAGGCCAATTTGAATCAATTGGTTTGCCTGTACTGCGAGAAGATCTTCAAGGATCGCACCACTCTGAAGGAGCACATGCGCAAGAAGGGACACAAGCGCATCAATCCCAATCGCCGGGAGTACGACAAGTACTTCCTAATCAACTACAATCGCGCTCCGGTGGCCACACCTCGGAAACAGCAGCACCAGAGACGACGACAGCCCTCTGGATCCATGCCCTCAGATGCGGAGAACGTCAGCGTGGACTTTGACAAACACTTTTCTCGTCCCGACTCGGAGGGTGAGCACGATTCGGACTGGTCGGACTGGGCCGGTGATGGCGAGCCACACTCACTCAAGTGTCTCTACTGCCCGCACCTAACCGAACACTTCGCTGGCCTCAAACAGCACATGATCGATGGCCACAGCTTGGATTTCGATGCTGCCACCAGCGCACTGAACTTCTATCAGCGTGTCAAGGTGGTCAACTATGTGCGCCGCCAGCTGTGCATGCGTCGCTGTGTTAGCTGTGACCTCCAGTTTGACGAGCTCGACCTGCTAACCCAACACATGGCCCAGGAGTCGCATTGCGGCATAGGCGAGCGATCCAGCTGGGACAAGCCGGAGTTCTTCTTTCCGTACATGGAAAACGATGGCCTGTTGTGTGTGCTGGATGATACAGCGGACGATGAGCCCGATGCCGATGTGGTGCGCATCATCTCCGAGGACAGTCTGGCGCAAATCAACAAGGATGCGGAGTCGTTATCTTTAGAGAATTTCAAGTTGTAAAAGATTATAGTGGAGATATTTATATTACTACCGTACAATAAACGGTCGCCAAATAGTAAACAGCTCCGCATATCGCACTAAAGTATCGATATCTAGTCGAAGTATCGATATAGTGATTTATCAATACAGAAGCATCTCTAGCACAAGTGACATCATATCAAAATAGGAAAACAATTAAAAAACATTGAAAATGGAGGCACTGGACATTCTGGAGAAGCGTATCGATGCCCTAACCCGAGTCCTTGGGCCTGTGCGGGAAGCGGACACCGGCGAGGGCATAGTGGACTCTCTTTGTTCTGCCAACGCGCTGCTCAGTGAGGCGACCACTGGACGCACACAGCTGCAGCAGTGCGTGAGTCGGGCGGGGGAGCTGGAGAAGTACTTGGACCCAAACTTTCTGGACGAACACCAGCAGGTGCGCTCCAAAGAGGTTTACCTCAATGCGGTGGCGCCCGAGCTGCACACCCAGGCCGAGCAGCTGGAGCGGATAAAGCAGCTGGAGCCGGCCCTGGGTGCGGAATACTTCCGCAGCATACCCAGCGAGTGCCTGGATCAGCTGAAACAGGTTACTCAGAACAATGGGGAGTATGCACAGCAGAGTGAACTGATCGAGGAGAGCCTCATACTGGCCATGAAGCGGTACGGGGAGATACAAGAGGGTCTGCTCTCCTCGCTGGACGCCATGAGCGAGCGACTGGACCAGGTGGAGCAGCGCATGGAGCAGAAGAAGAAGAGCGATCTCAACAAGGATGTGCCCCCCACCGACTAATGGCTGATGGCACAACCATGCGAGACTGTCGATAGTATTTCCGATCTACTCTCCATCTATGACTGGGGGGAGAGCAGATGCAAGATGCTCTTTCCATTGTAAGTTTCCTTTTTATCATTATTTAATGCTAGCACAATAAACACAACTCTACCAAATTAAACCTAACAGCTAGACAAAGATTATAACTGGCGGGTAATGCCTTCCCTTTCGCATCGAAAGTGGAGGCATTGGCCCTAACTTCGATTCGATAATGAGGGGCACAGTCTTAGCTCAACCATGGAGATTTTACCTCCTCCTCCTGCTGTCTCCCACTAGAAGCGCATCTCGTTGCGTTGAATCCGCTCGTAGACGGACTGCGTGAGAGGCAAGTAGACACCATCGGATCCTACGTAGAACAACTCATCCTCAATGGCCGCCGGATCGAAGCCCTGCTGCTGCAGCTCCACCTTTCGCAGCTTGAACGTGCCGGTCAGGTCGATCTTCCGGAGGAATCGCAGGAACTGCGGGCGTGCATAGTTGGGCAGCACCTTGGCCAGCTCCTGGCCCAGCAGCTCCACCTTCACCTCTCGCGTGGGATCGTAAATGGCGGCCATGCCGGCACGTCCCTCCGTTTGGGGTATGCTGACTCCGTACACGATGACATCCTTGTAACCGGCCAGATTGCTGAGCTGTGCCTCCACCTCGCTGGTCGAGACATTCTCCCCCTTCCAGCGGAAGGTGTCGCCGGTGCGGTCCTTAAAGTAGAGATAGCCCCGCTCATCGGACACCAGCAGGTCGCCAGAGATAAAGGCCATGTCGCCCTTGGCAAAGACATCGTACACCACTTTCTTGGAGGAGGCCTTCGTGTCCACGTAGCCGAGGAACTCGCGGCAGGGATTGCCCTTCACAATTTTCCCAATGAAGACGCCCGTCTCGTTGGGCTCGCATCGCTCACAGAGACCCTTCTTGTTGCGCAATGGCTCGCCCGTGTGCGGATCGGCACGTATGATGGATATGGGATAGATTTGTGGCAGTACTCGCGACACAAAGCCAATCGCTCCCACAGTGCTGTCGTTGTTCATGATGTTGGCGTTGCCCTCCGTGGCTCCATAGAACTCACCGACACGCTTGATGGCAAAGCGCTCGACGAAAGGCGTCCAAATCTGTGGCCGCAGTCCGTTGCCAAAGACCATGCGCACCTGATGCTTGCGGTCGTGTGCTGCCGCTGGTGTGGACAATATATAGCGGGCCATCTCCCCAATGTATTGGCCAATCTGTCGGAGATGAGATGGAAATAGTGAGAAGGAGCGGAGGGGCTACCATGTAAGTCACTGATCTTACGGTGCACTGGAAGCGTGCGCAGTCGGCAAAGTAGCCTGAGGCACTGAACTTCTTGCGTATGACCACCGTGGAGCCAAACAGCAGGGCCTGGCCCATGCTCATCACTCCGCCAGCAGTGTGATAGAGTGGAAGCGGTGTATAGAACACATCCTGGTCCCTAAAACCGAGGGCATAGTGGATGCCAGCGGCAATAAAGAAGTAGCTACAGGATAAACGATAAGTGTCAAGCATCAGCGGATGATCGGGAGAAGGAAATGCTCACCGCGAGTGCGTGATTACGGCTGCCTTGGGCAGCCCCGTGGTGCCAGAGGTGTAGATGTACACCAGTTTGTCGTGATGATCCGCTCGAGTGGCGCCTGCGGCCACTTTATCTTTGGCGGCCGTGTCCAGCAGTCCGTTGAGCTGCTGGGCCAGACCCTGGCTCAAGCCCTCGGCGACGACATGTGCCTGGCTGCCCTCATCGTTGAACTGGTAGAGCCCCACATGGGCGGGCAGATCCTTCGCAATGTCCATCACAGCCGCTCGGAAGCTGGCCCCGTAAATCAAGGCCGTGCACTGGCCCACCGTGATGCTGTGCTGCAGCGAGGCGCCCCGCAGATTCGTGTTGATGAGCGGTGTGATGACACCAATCTTCGAGAGACCCAGCCAGGTGGCCACAAATTCGGCGCGATTCTCGAGCAGCAGCCCCACCACATCGCCCTTTTTGTAGCCGTGGCTGTGGAAGACGTTCGCCACGCGGTTCGAGTGCTCGTTCAGCTGTCGGAAGGTCCACTGCTGGGACTCGCTCACGATGGCCAGTTTGTCGGGATGCCGAGCCACACTTGCCTCGAAGATGTCGCCAATGTTGAGGTTCTTTCGCTCCTGTCGCTTCACAAACAGCAGCACTCGGATGTAGGCAAAGAGAGCACTAAATGGGGAATATTCTGGCTTGAGATTCGATTGGCGAGGGCCATTGCAATGCCAAGAGCTTACACAGTGTCGCGAGGACCAGTCACCGCCGCTATATAGAACCACCTCCAGCCGGGCCGCACCAAGAGTGTGGCTATCACGCCGCCATAGAGAGCCGCCAATCCATACCAAGCTCCCAGGTAATACCAGAGCGCTGCAGTGCCTACCGAGAGGACGGGCACCATTATCCACTGCAGGCAGCATCGCCAGTTGCGTTTCTTCTGTTCCTGCGGACTCTGACTGGGATCTATGGGTATGGAGACCTAAAGCAGCAGACGAAAGACTCTTAATATGGCACTCATACTTGACGTAGAGTCTCTTGTCAACGACTAATTATCCACTCAATACACCCCGGAACCTCCTCCATGTGGAGTTTCTTCAAAGCTTTTCTTGATCTTT